CCTTCCTGTACTTGCACAACACAAAGACACATGTTAAAATAGTAGTAATAGGAGGAATCTTGAAGATCATTTGACTGATTCTAAAGTGAGAGTAACTAAACCCACAAATTTCTGTGACAAGTCACACATCTATTTAAGCCACATAAAAGAAATTCCACATCTTCTCAAGATACTGCTTAAACGCGTAACAACCTTCACCAGTTGTTTCTATCTTTCTTAAACATCAAACCTGTAAGTGTATTTCTCCTCCTAATCATAGCAGCCATGGAGAACACTATGTATTCGCCTTCTTCACAGCCATCTTTTGCGTATTAAAAGATTGGTATTTTCCACAAGTCTCCCTTTATAGGATATTGGCTGCAAACTATTACAAAAATATTTTTTAGGCTCGTAGAAGTTCTCATTCTAGATTCACATGCAACATCCGATACATTTAGAATAGGTGCTAAACTCTAACACAGCCCATCATGCTACACTCTGCAGATGATTGTTTCTACTTCAGTACAGAACTCTGCACTTTTCCTCACTTAAGCGCGCAACAGTGTTTTCCCCCAGAACATTTCTCACGTTCTCAAGACTACTTGAATTCTACCTTGGTTCCTCCAACACAAATAATTTAATGGTCCTCTCCCCATTCGAGAAAATGAGCCAAAAAAGAAACCAAACCAAACCACACCACGTTTAAATACCTAAGGAACATTCGGATAGCATTTGAAGCGACGTATTTCAAGATTGTCTTGTTTAAACACACATATCACTTACTTTAGGCATCTGTGGATGACTGAAATCTTTATCCACAATCACTCCTTTAATCAGCTGTGTATCTTCCAGTCTGCCCCCCACTTTGCCTTGTACTTTGATCAGCTCAAAATCGACATCTTTGCGTTCCATATCTGCTACTGTCAGTACAGCATTTACAGCAATTTCTGCCATTTGTCTGTGACAACGGTTAACTCTAGATTTAAGCAAATTATAATAAAGTTGCATTATATTTATACAGTATAGAGCTAGAAAAAAAAGAAAATAGTTCCATCAATACTGCGCAAAAAACCAATGTAACTAAAGCTTAAGACTTTTGTTCACTGCAGGAGAAAAGAGGTTCTGGATTGTTTGTTCACAGCAATAAGAGAGATGTTATATACGACAGAAAATAGAACACACAATTTAGTTTGCCTACATACTCTTCTTGTACATACTCTCAATATGTAGACTTGGGACACAAACGAGCAGAACTAACCTGCTAGCAAGAAGCTTTCAAGTCATACAAACACTACAAAACACTCTTATGACAAGTCTGCAAAACACACTCGCATATATTTTCTGTATTAACTTACAGCATCTTTCACCTTGAGAGACATCTCACTGAAGAGATGCTACAAACAGCAAACAAACTCCAATACACTGAAGCACTCTCCTTCTAAACTCTCCTACAGCGGTGAAGTCAGAAAAATTTTAAACATAACTGCATTCATTAAAAATGTTATAGCTTGGAGGAGGGCAAGTGTGAAACAGTATTATTAAGCACCAGCCAAGTCAGTCAACAACTTTCCATAATTTCTGTACAGGTGATACGATCAAAACCACACAATGGGTTGAGAAAGAGCAAGGAGAACAGGATGGGAAATAGAGAAGAGATAGAAAATGGCATTCTCATGCTACCTCCCTACATATTTGAGTGTCTATCATGAGATGCTACGCAACAGAAACTGCAATTGGCGAAAACTTGTGTTCCATAGCAACTAAAAATGGGAGACTTCCGTTTTTCTACTGTGCTGCTTTATGCCATCTCATCTTCTTGCTTCCTTACATCCAAGCTCCACAGTAGCATCCAAGAAAGTTGCCTAATGTCCAAAGAGTAACAGACAAAAAACAACCCCCTCCTCCCCAAAAACACTAACCAGGAAATGAGATTAATGCTTCTTTATCGTGCAGCAAGTGTGCTAGAATTTGTCTTGAAAGTACTCTTACAAAGTCTCTGATACAAGATGTTTGTAACAGTCTTAATACTTACAAGGGACTATACATACTGAGCAAAAGATTAAATCACTACTACAGGATCAGCCAACTAAAAACATGCTCTTATGGAAGCATAATTCTGAAGTTACTCTATGTCACCCAAGGTGAGATGGACTGAGCCACTGGGAAGCTGGCTAACTCTACAGTGAAAAATGCTACAATGGAAATGGAAACCAGAGTTTTACATCTGCAATCTGAATTTGTATCTACTTGAAGAAAAAAAAAATAATTTGCACTTCTTTCAGCTATACTGTCTTTTAAAAAACTCTGAGCATGTAGTTTTTAGTAGTGAGAGTCAACAGACATAACCAATTAAGAAAAAAAAAGATAAAGAGTCCATTGAGAAATTGGCCAAAAAAAGTCAAGTAAATATGAAAGAGCATTTAAGAGCCACTCCAATAACATAAATAATATCACAATCCATCAAAATATCAAGTAAAAATCAGGATTTCTCCTTTCAATTCAAAGTGTTTTTAAGGAAAAAGGCAACTCTTGTTGTGAACTTTTCATGAACTTACACTTTAGAGCCTAGAGTTGTCTTTGCTGTCTGGATCAGAGGCTCAGTATTCTGTGGATCAACGGGAAAGCTGTCACTGATTTTGTCTAGATGTTCAATAGCAATGCGAGCTGCCTGTTCATAACCATCTGCAATTCTGATAGGGTGAATACCACGATCTAGTAGCTGCTCTGCCTGTTCCAACAATGCTCCAGCCAGAACTATAAAACAAAATTTAAAATAAGGTTTACACTTCCACAGATTGAGACATCATTTTTAACATATTAAAAGAAAAAAATTACACCTTCAGATTTTGTTTCTGTTCTCTTTCAATCTTTGTAGAAAGAAGACTGTATTATTTTAGTCTAAGAAGAAGCACAAGGGTCAAGGTGGGACAAGAAGAAAGTCATGCAAGAAAAACCTCTGAAAGTAGAGGGAGGACTTTCAACACTAACTTCAAATGTACCCACACGTTAAAAACACACAAAACATCTTTCTGATTAACACTTCAGTATTGTTGTTAATTCCTGTATTAGGAACCTTTTAAATATTTAAAAATACCTTACAGAAACGGTATATTTACATCAAACATCACCATCTCTGAAATTAGTTCAAGAAACTTGATTTTAAAACTGGAAAAGTTACGCTAAGTTTAAAATGTTTTCTTACCAACAACTCCCGTAGTTCCATCCCCAATCTCATCATCTTGAGATTTAGAGAGCTCTACCATAAGTTTAGCTATCTGGTGATCCACATCCATCATGTTTAGAATAGTAGCACCATCATTTGTCACAGTCACCTCACCATCCTTGTCTACCATCATTTTATCTAAACCTAAAAAAAATTCACAGCATGAGGGAAAAGCCAAAAAACAAACAAACAAACCCCAACAGCTTAAAAAATTACTAAAAGAATTTTTAAAATTATTTCATCATTACCATTGGGCCCAAGAGATGTTCTCAGAGTATTTGCCACAGCTTTTGCTGCCATTATGTGAGACTACAAAACAAAGAAGCAGTAAGTTACATCATTATTAACACTCCCAGAATCGCAGCATTAAGCTAATACAGAAAAAGAGCTAACTGAAAATTAGGTATTACAATTCAACTAGAAGCAGCCAATTTTAAGTAAGAACAAATTGAAACATGCACACTGCCTTTATGCCAGAAACCTCTCCCATGCCGTTTCTTCACTTACACAGTTAAAGCTTGCAATAGTAGAGGAGCAGCTAGAACGATTTCTTGGCGCGTTTAAAGCAGCAGTAACAGATGCAAATATC